TCTTGTACAGAGAGAATACATCAATACAAGACATCAAGTAACAAACCAAGCAGACTATAAGGTGTCAACGAATGTATAGTGTATCAAAATGTTCAATATTCTGGGACGGATTGTTATTATTCTTGCCACTATTCTTATCGTCGCTATGGTTTCCATTGTTCCCGCTATTTAATAATCAAATCATATACTAACTGTGTACATAGAGTCGGTATTGGTATTAGCATAGGTCGATTGTTCAGTATCATCGGCTATGTCATCACTTTCGTTTAGGAAACTTCTGCTTTGAAGGATGTCTGTTGCCGGGGTGTCCCATGACACACTGTTGTATTCATCTTCATGATAACTTGAGCTCATCTTGGGGATATTATTTGAGAAATAAACAAAATGCTCGGAAACAGAATAATAATAAGATATAATTATGACATCATTCAAATGTGTTACAGTGATTACGTCTACAGTATTGTCCTATATTTCGAGCAAATAAATAAATTAAAATAAAAAAGCAACATATAAGGTCATGTGATTTACGTTTGTCAGAAGATATTCTATATTCTACTGTATATGTAGTGATGTTGACAACATGAGGCATTAACACATGCCTATCGCTAGCATTATATGGGGCATGCTGCAACAAAACCAGACAAAGTGACGAGGCGAAGAGGGCGTTGCAGCAGTTCGAGGATGGAGACAGTGGGAAGCGGCTAAAGGAGTTGGAGAAGAAGGAGTTGAACAAAGTGAAAATCTTCGTTCAATTTTCAAGATTGATGCTGATATCTCTACTTCTTTAGTTCAGGAATATAAAAATTATAGTGACTTAAAAAGGATGAATTAAAACTCAAAGAGATTGCTAATATTCTGCTCAATTTAGAAGATAACACTTTCTTCAATGAACTAAAAGAATATCTAAAAGATAAGAAAGGATTACCAGCTTTCCCTGCTGACAGTGCTGATGATTACCAAAAACAGGATTATTTCTTTACTTTGAACCCTGAATATGTAATTAAATTCTCTGCCACTTATCAAATTAAAAATGATAGTTCAGTCAAAGAACAAACTAAGCAAGCTATGGAAAAAGTTAAAAATGACCAAAATCAAGGCTTAGATAAAAAACTCTATGGAGATGGTCAAGAATTTACAGAAGCAGGAATTATTAAATATTATGCAGAAGAATTAGGCGGAGTGAACCATAGTTTTGCTAAACAAGGAACTAAATCTACTCCTCCTTCCCAGGAAGAAGGCTTCTGAAGAATGAATAATCCTTCTGCTTGAGCAACTGGATTTGCTCTTCTCCTTCTCCTAAGTAGTCTTGGTTGAGCCATCTGGAAAAGAAAACTGCTGGCTCAATGATAAAACTCCCCTGCTGAACTAGAAGAAGATGATGAAGAGGATGATGATTAATAATGATTTAATTGTTTATTCTGCTGGTCTTTGTTTCTTTCTTGGTTCATTATAAGTTGTTGTTAAGGTTCGTTTGATATTTATTATTTTTCGTTGTTCCTGGTAAATTTCATAAGTGATTTTTTCTTGCTCTAGATATTCCTGGAGAGTTTGTGTATTATTGATTTTAAAAATGTAGGGAGCAATTTTTTCTCCTTGAGCTTTTTTTAAAATACTTCTAATGGTGCTGTAATTCTTGGGTTCCATGGTCGATTTAATGTAAATTAGTTTCATATTAATATTTTTATATATAGAGATAATCTTATATATATTAACCCTGTTTTGGTTTATATTCCTCACCTTCTGGAATGATAATGGGAATATTAAAATTAACAAGTCCATAAGTTATGAACAAGTACCATTATTACTTTTCAAAATATCATCATTCACCCTGGTAATTTTACAGCTACAGCCACATCACAATCAGCCTCTCAATAATGTCACATAATAGAAAGTTCACTTTGTCTGGTTTGGTTGCAGTCTGCCCCATATAACAATAAGACTTTATACAGACTATATTATACAGTATGTACTGACTGTGTTTAAATGATTGTTCTCACAAATAACTTGCTTAAATGTAATAACATGTACGCTTTACAATATGATTCCTATTTAGCTGGCGGTATTCTCTCCAAACTTTCGCTTATAGACACGCTCATATCACATTCAAATTTTTGTGTAAATATAAAAGCCGAATAATATAAAGACACCAGTTAATGATACAAATTTCAAATTATGTTTGACGTAAACTAACTATTATATAAACTACGTTGCACTAAAAAACCCCAGCTGGAATAGACAAGTTAATGCGTGATAAACTATTAAGTATTGTCCAATTAGAAGCAATTTTCTTCCGAGAATGTTGTTTCTGAATGCTCCCCAAATTAGGTTTAAATTGGCACCAATAGACTGACGAAGACATAACTAATCGTGCAAAAGTCGAATATTATAAAACCCCATTGGTCATTTGGATAATTCTTATAATGCATGATAATGCAGAGCAGATCGATTTTGACGTAGCTTGATGGTTCGAATAAATTGCAGAAGAGCTTAGCAACAAAAGAGTATGAAACTTGTATAACGATGGTAATGGTCGCGACATTCTTACTGATGACACGTGAGCTAACATCAAATGAAGGGACCATAAATTAAAAAAAGATCAGAATGAATACCTTAATATTAAATAATGCGTCGGATTAGTTCGATCACATGAACTTTGCTTATCGTGATTCTCCTAACTATAACAATGAAAAATGATCGCAATTGGCCGATTCAGCACTTATCGCAAATCAGTATATTTTGTATCTCAATATCATATAATACTTAATGATAAACACGCGATCCGTATGGACGATAAATGATGCCGAAATGATTCCGAATATTACACTGTGCATTTTCAAGAACATACTGGACGAGTTTAGTGAAATAAGACATTTTTTCACTGATTTGTTCTTAGTGTGCGATCTATTATCATTTTAGATGAGGTTTGCCCTGTTGGCGAGATATTATTAGATGCGTAGCATTCATTAATAGGTTTCCTTATCAGTTAATTCCGTCAAACTTTATAATGCAGCGCGCAACCAACGCTATAATACCAATTTGGCGCTTCCCAAAAGCTGTGGATCCCGAATAGTAGCAAAAATCGGGACAATACGGTCCCGGATGGGAACAATTGTTAGGCTAGCATTGAAAGGGATAATCAATTAAGTCGTTGCATATTTTTTTTTTCATTGAGCTGTGCTTCTCATGATAATGTCACTGACCAATTCTGCAAAATGCCGAGTGAACGTGATATGAATGAATTTTTATTGGATTTCGTTCTGATGGTACCATGTTACCACAAGTAGTTTAAAAGCGTTGATTTAATATAATGGGTAGCAAATTGAATCGGATTTTTTTTTTTTTCATGTTATTGTTAAAAGTTTATGCTGCGATGGTGCAATAATCATAAATTTGCCGCTGAATCCCACACACTCTATACGCCATGCCAAATTGCTTTTATTTTCACATGATAAAGGATTAGTGAGATTGTATATAGCATAGCGTTGTCAATCATGTTGCTGCTTCTAAAATACATCCACAATACCTTCCATTCTTCATGTCTTTGGATCAGACCACAGCCGATCAAGTAAGGATAGCCAATTATTTACCTATTTCATATAGGGCGTTTAGTGAACAATGCTTTTCATATTTGTTAACAGCAGCATAAGCACGCAAACGTTTTAATAGAACAGAAACAGACGAGCATGTAGATAAGAGATCGACTAACTGCGATTAATGAGATGGTAGGTGTGCATGTATGCACTCTGTTGGTAATGAAGGCCTGTATGCCGGTAGAACAAAGAATGGCAATCGATAAGCATTGATACAGTTGATAATGTATTTCAGTATGCAGCTTGTTACGTCATAGTTGATAATCATTGTCGGACGGGATAATGATAATAAGTTGCTAACCGAGATAAAAGTAACTCACCAACACGCGACGATAATCACAAGATTTGTAGTCATATCGTTATGAAGGTCACATTTATTTGCTATCAGCAAATCCGTTGTGCTCCAGATTTACTAATTTTTACTATCAACTCATCTATCGCTGCCCGTCATCGCAAATTAAACAACATGGAAACCCGAAGCATATGAAACATGCACCTACAAGCCTGGTTTATTCAATTTATGGCAAGTTTTTTTTTTTTTACAAATAAATTCCTTGCATACTGTGTGGCTTATAAAAAAACAAACGTTAAATTAGAATAAGTTTTTTTATAAAGAGTATACGTTCGACCATATGAAGAGTATGCGCTGCACTATATGGAGACTATACGCATATTCTATTGTCTTCAATGATTGTTCTATTGTAGGTACATTATGTGGGGTGTTTGCCCTTTTTACATTTAAGATTACAATGGCATCATATGAAAAACATCATTTTATACTAAATACAATATGTATCTACTCAATACCCCTTATCACTCTCATTCACACCCACATCACACTCATTACATACCCCATACACATCAATACCCACACACACATACACACACCCCTACAACCCCCGTCCCCCCTCATCCCCGCACCAACTGCACTTGGGCGACAACAGCATTAACTATGATAAGCCCAATCCATGACCTCCCCGGCTGGTGAGAAAATTACAACCATTTGCGGACTTTTCATCTGGTTGGGACAACCATCCCATATCACCGATATCAATCATGAAACAGGTTATTGAAAAGTACAAATAGCCTTGTTCGTCGTGCCCCTCTTCTTCCCCCCAACTCTCATGCTCTTGATGACACTCTGTCACAATTGAGAAAGATTTTTCATAAAAGTATTATTCAACTTTGAGGACTGTAGGGAATTCATTGGTTAATTTGTAACGAAATTCAGAAAGCCTTTCTGTCATCCATTCAAACGTTAGAATACCCAAATCAACTCGACCTCCTCAACCAATCCCTCCCTTTTCCTTCCCTCTCTCTTTCTCATTTCGTCTATCTCTATTAAAATTTTTTACCCCCACCTCTTAACTTCTCACACCTTACTGTCAATTATCATCTCCCACTGATATAATGGCCATTCCACGTGCTCTCTCTCCCAGCTACTGGTTGGACCGCGCCCTAACCATCTTTCTAAAGCTTATTCTCGCCGTACTCTTAAAAACGCTCAGTATCGTAAAAGGCGAAGACACTGCTGTCATAACTGTAAATGTGGAGACGATTAGAAATTCAAGAGGCTCTTTACATTTGACTCCGCCATCGAATGGCGAATTTAAGGCCGGCCTTATCGAAGTCGAAAAAATCAGAGGATGGGAGGTTGAAGATGTGAAAGCTAGAGAGGTGGAATTCAACGATACAAGATTCGAAGGAATTAAATTCAACGAAGAAAGTTATGAAGTCAGAGTCAATAGAGATATCTATGCACCTATAGTCGACGAAACTAAAATCACTGAACAGGTCAGTGAGAAAGTTGTAGAGACGGAAGTCCAAGTGGATGAAGCCCATTTCGATGGCTTCGATGATGACGTTGTACTTGATGAAGAGCATCTCGAAGCGTTTTACAATGAATCTAAAGTTGATGAAGTTGAGGTTAATGAAACTCATGTCGATGAGGTTGAAGTCAATGAAGTTCATGTCAATGAGGTTGAAGTCGATGAAGTCCATGTCGATGAGGTCAAAGTCGAAGAAGTCCATGTCGATGAGGTCAAAGTCGATGAGATCGAAGTCAATGAAGTCCATGTCGATGAGGTCGAAGTCGATGAGGTCAAAGTCGATGAGATCGAAGTCAATGAAGTCCATGTCGATGAGGTCGAAGTCGATGAGGTCGAAGTCGATGAGGTCAAAGTCGATGAGATCGAAGTCAATGAAGTCCATGTCGATGAGGTCAAAGTCGAAGAAGTCCACGTCGATGAGGTCGAAGTCGATGAAGTCCATGTCGATGAGGTCGAAGTCGATGAGGTCAAAGTCGAAGAAGTCCACGTCGATGAGGTCGAAGTCGATGAAGTCGAAGTCGATGAAGTCGAAGTCGATGAAGTCGAAGTCGATGAGGTCGAAGTCGATGAAGTCCATGTCGATGAGGTCGAAGTCGATGAGGTCGAAGTCGATGAGGTCAAAGTCGAAGAAGTCCATGTCGATGAGGTCGAAATCAATGAAGTCCATGTCGATGAAGTCGAAGTCGAAGAAGTCCATGTCGATGAGGTCGAAGTCAATGAAGTTCATGTCGATGAGGTCGAAGTCAATGAAGTTCATGTCGATGAGGTCAAAGTCGAAGAAGTCCACGTCGATGAGGTCGAAGCCGAAGTCAATGAAGTTGTTGAGGAAATCAAAGTCGAAGCCGAAATCAATGAAGTCCATGTTGATGAAGTTGAAGTCAATGAGGTCGAAGCCGAAGTCAGTGAAGTTGTCGAGGAAGTCAATGAAGCCAATGTTGATGAAGTCGAAGTCAATGAGGTCGAAGTCGAAGTCGAAGTCGAAGCCGAAGTCAGTGAAGTTGTCGAGGAAGTCAATGAAGCCCATGTTGATGAAGTCGAAGTCAATGAGGTCGAAGTCGATGAAGTTCATGTCGATGAAACGATACAGACGGAAACCGAAGAGACTATTGAGTTCGCAGAAAAAGAAGTTGCCCAAACGGAAGAGGTTATAATAACAGAAACTGTAGAGACTAATATCAGTGAAGTCGAAACCGAAGAAACAAAACTTGAACAAGAAAATGTTGAAGAGAATTTCGATGAAGAAGCACATGTCGACGAGGAAGTTGAGACTCTTCCATTCCAACCAGAGACCGTCGTTAACGAAACTCTAGCCGATTTCGCTGATAAAACAACCGAACTGACTGATGGCGAAAGTACAGTTGTTAGCGATGCAGAGCAGGAAGAATCTGAGCCTAAATCATATCCCGAAGAAAATGAGCCTGCTCAATTCGCCGAAGAGAACACAAATAACACTCCACCAGAAATGAAAACTTCACATGAGCCTGCTCAATTCGCCGAAGAGAACACAAGTAACACTCCAATGAAAACTTCACATGAGCCTGGACTTGCACAATTCGATAACAGTCCCATAGTATCGGTTGATTTCCACTGGAAACACGGCGGCAACAGAGCTGTTCTTACTGGCGATTTTGATAACTGGCAATGTGAGTTTGAGAGTTAACTTTGGAGATATAACATGTTTTTTTCTAATATCTATTTGATTATTATTCGTCATATCCAATACTCATATTACATTTAATCTTTCAGCAACTTACGAAATGACAAAACTTCCAAACGGTGAATTCGTTGCGAAAATACCAATCGACCGCAACAAGGAGCATCATTTCAAGTTTGTAATCGACGGCGAGTGGAGATGCAATCCTGACTACCAAACAACACGAGATCAATGTAAGATATCAAAACTATTAGATTTTTTGAAACGTAATAGTAAGATTAACGACACAAGACAGATGGTAATTCGGCAACGACTAACTTAATGTTTGTTCTTTTTTTAATAGATGGAAACGAGAACAATGCCCTATCGGCATTACCAGTTGATATAGTTAGCGAATTCAAGAGTGATATTGGTATGTTACGATTACGATTGGTTTCTTTTTTTTTCCATAGTTCACTCGCTCACGTCCAATTTTCTCTCTCTACAGCGACATCTTCCTTCCAACTCGCCACAGCATTCTAAATTGTCACCATCCCATGTCTACGACGCTTTCCATCCGGCTTCATTGTCTCCAAATAAATACTCATTCATCACAACCATTCATTTTTATTACCTTTTTTTCTGTGTACTTTTTTTTTTTTTTTATTTTTTACAACTTTTTACTTCAAACAGCAACAAATTCTCTTCACTTATAACAAATTTTTACACTTTTATTTTGATCATATAATTTTGTTGATGCTTCTCACAAAAGAAAAAAAACTCTTTGTATTATATTCGTTCTTGAATGAGGAGCGTCATTAAGAAGAGAGTGTTTGAGGATGTTATTCTCCGATTGAGATGTTTTGTGGTATTAATAACATTACAAAGTTGGATCAGTTGTTTATGGTCAGTGTCATGTATTTGTTGAGATTTTAATGGGGAAAGTAGATTTAAGAGTTTCTTGTTGAAGACGTTTTTGTGGGTTTGAGAGTTGCATATAGAGAAACTACGAGTGGTATTTCTCATTACCAGGCAAATAAATTGGTAAATAAACTCTCTCAAAGTTGGTAATATATATTAAGTGACTGAGATGGATTATTCGCGTATTGCGAGTGTTTGCTATTTGAGACAAGACTAGACCAGGCGAAGGATGGAATTATTTATTCTCCTTCTCCTTACATTATGATAACTAGTCGGTTGGGATCGGTAATTATAATATCCTGGCAGGTTTGTTTCATGCTAGATCTTGCCTAGTTCTTGTAATGTATTACTCATTTCATTGTCTAATCCGTATCTAAAAAGATAGCTCCATCCAGCAAAGCCTGGAGAAAAATCCCACGGGCGCCATTTACATCTCTATCTATCCGAAGTTGACATTCACTACATTCAACTATTTTTTTTCCTCCCAAATTCTGATTTATCCACCCACAACGACTACATGTCTTGCTTGTATATGCCTCTCCAACTATCTTAACTTCCTT